GGGCCACTGCCGCTACGACACGCCCATCTCTTTTGATCACTGCCCTCTCGCCACAACTTCAGATCGTTGTCACTACGACACGCCTATCACTTTTGGTCACTATCGTCTCGACACACCTTTCTTCGGGCTGCTGCCTCTACGGCACGCCCACCCTTCGGGTTACTTCCGCTACGGCACAACCATTTGATCGGGCCGCTGCCACCACAGCATGCCTATCTTTTCCTGAGTCACTGCCCCCCATGGTACACTCATCACTGATTGTCTGCATTTGCATTTGCATTTTTGCATGGATAGCGAGTCAGACTCGTTAGGAGAGTGACCCCGTGTCGGTCGTGATGCCTTAATGAGCATTGCTTGCTGGGTTGATCCCGGTGAGTAATGCGAGTTAAGTTATCAGGATTGACACGAGTATGACTGTGCTAAAGATCTAATAGATCTAACTCATGACACCCTTTAGATCCTTCGGATCTTTAGGATGGAGTCAGTATGACGACCATGTCAAAGTTATATCACGCCCATACCCCGAACTTAGATACTAGGTTGACACACTTTTCGTTAGATAGTGTGTTAGGCTAGAATTTAGGGTGTTAGGTAGTCTTTTTGATGTCTGACTATTGTTCTCTGTTGGAATGGTTGTCATAGCCAGATGTCTTTCTTTTGCATTAAGTTTGTAGTGTGACTGCATGCTGCATATGTGTGGCAGTGTGTTAGGGTGTTCTTCTGCAGGGAGTCATGTCTGTTTATATGAACACACACGGGTACCGCTACGGGGGAGCAAGTAATGATTTCTAACAATTTACTTGCAGTTGTTATTTAGCTCCCACACTTTTAAGGCATGGTTCATGATACGTTATTTGCATGTGAGCTTTCTCGCTGACACTTGTTTTCATGCAGGATCGAGTTTTTTTTTCTTTTCTCTATGTACTTTTAAAGTCTAGGAGAGTCCTGTAGCAGAAATAAGATACGAGCACGGGTTCCGAGACGTTAGCGCGACAACCACGTGAAGGAGACCAGGAGCAGATGCTCGTGCCTAGTCTCTTAATTATATATTTTATATTGATGTATAAAATTAAAACCGGGCATGTATATGAGAAGTCCGACCGCTTTTTTCTTTTCTAGGATATGTTGCCGACACAGCGACACCGACCTGTTTATTATTTTATTTGGCTTGTTTGGCTTTTTGCATCATGTTGTATGTCTGCACTTGCATGTGTTTTTCTTGTTTCTTTCTGTGGTTTATCTAAGATTTCATGATATAATCTAGGCTCATTAAAGACCATAAAATTGTAATTTTCTATAAAATTCTAAATAAAATATTAAAGATAATTAAAATTTAGGATTAAAATATTCAGGATTTAAAATTTGTAACTTTTACTTTCTTGTTTGTATTAATAGGGCCTCCACAATACTTAAGAACCGCTC